ATTCTGAAATTTTGAGATTAATTGCTGAAATTTTCTAGAAAAAAAGTAGGAAATTTCTAAGATGAAAAAGTAAAAAATATTAGACTTTTGAAAATCAGAAAAAATTGCAAAATTTGACAATTTTGGACGTTTGGAGAGAAAAGGTCAGAAAATTTCAATTTTTTTTCTAGAAAATATCAATCTCAAAATTTCTGACTTTTTCTAGCAAATCTTTTACTTTTCAAGCTCTTCTAGAAAATTTCCAAGCACAATCAAAACATTTCTGAGTTTAGAATCACCATAATTAAGAATCAGCTTATATTTCAAGTATACATTTAATAGCAAGTGTTTTTTTTTTTCTCTTGATTTTCAAACGTTGAAAACAGAGAAAGAGAGACAGACAGAGAAACACAAAACTAACGGACAAAGCAGAAGCCGAGTCCCTCTAAATGGGACGAACATAGTGAACAATAAGGACACCAGAACAGGGTTTTCCTAAAATATAAGTTTTCATGAAAACCAATACACCGCAATTCATATTTAGTGTGCAAAGGACAAATAAAATAATGTATTGCTATTTTGGTCTCAACCAGAGGAAAATGAAGATGTAGCTGCGTCCATGAAGACAAACTATAAGCGTTCAGAAATGAAAGAGCAGCGGGTTGAACGGGAGGCGGTGTGAGCTACACAAACCATGCGCTAAAAAAAAACCTGATGGCTACAGACGCCGCAGCCCAACTGTACATAATATAGTTAGTCTGAAGGCGACATGCGCAGTAGAGTGGCTGCTGACGCAACATGACTTGTTAGGTGAGGTCAGAAGACTGGTTTGATAACTATGACGTGTGGACGGACGTCATTTGCAGGGTCTTTATTTGCTCGTTCTTTTTCTCTATCACCTCGATATTTTAGCAGCTCAAACCTGACAAATCTAGCAGTCATGTCCAGTAGAATGACTTCTCCGTCCGTAGGGAGCGTCACCGTCGAAGCCTTGGAGGCGGTGGTCGACCGCCTTTTCATCAACATGACCCCAGAGGAGTGGTTGGGACTGGGAGCTGGAAACCCACTACCCAGCACCACCTGCACTCTGGGGGAGATTTTTGGAGACATTTTGGAAATATTTACATCCAACGTCCTGGATAACCTACTCAAGCAAAAATCCACTCTTGAGACCTTGGAGGCAGCCGTGGGCAACAAAGTACCTGAAACCCTTGCTGAAATCATGGCGTCGACGGAGACTACCACACAGAGCACACAGACAATTTGAACCAGCTCATTGCAAAATATCTGTTGGATAGAATTTCTCATGGCTTGGACTCGGATGATCCTACAACAAAACATGTCGACCCAGCACCTTTTAAATCCATTATCAAGTATATGGTTGAGGAAACCATCTTCATCATAATGGACCTGATGGTTACATTGCTTGCATCCAGTGAGGAATCTAAGTAGCCGTCGACAACCCAGTTCAGTCTAAAGAGCTCGTAGATGGCAAAAAAGAGATGCAGACCAAAACAGCTGATGAGCCGAAATCGAAGCTCAAAGTTTGGACAGGGAAGATCAAGAGGTTTTTTACCAAATTTTCCTTCAAGCATTCTTCTGAGGTTGCTCCACTGAACCTGGACCTGGAAAAACTGACCTCAACCCTTTGAAAAAGTTTCAAAGTTTCAAAGTAAAAACCATCAATTTACTGATGTACTGGCCAATAATTAACCCAACTCCCCTAAGTTTGTTTATTCCTGGTTGAAATCTGACACGGTCTGCTTTAGTTTTGCGTTGATATCCATTGCCGTTCGGTCATTTTGAATGTTGCCATGTTTGTCATGGCTGCATCAGTTTTCGTCTGAGCCTGTCAAGTGACACTATTCACTTTCAGGAGGACTTTTCTTAGTCACACCTCTCACCTGTCTGACTTTTATCACTTCAGTCTGCACCTGAACGATCATTCTGGCGTTCAGCAGTTTGATGAGCTGCAGATTTAATCATCCTCACCTGTTTCTGCCTCATGGCGGCTTCCTCCAGCGCCATCCATCATCGTCCTCTCCTGAGCTGACTGATGGCTGCTACGCCCTCTGAGTGGGGAAGTCTCCGCTGCGCAACCGTATATGGAGTGAGAAGAGACACACACACCGTTTGGGATGTGAGTAAGAGGAGCTGAGGTCGTAACTCTGTTAGATCCACAATGATTCACTCTCATTTTAATGTTTTCAAACTCAGTTTCAAGCGTTCAGGGTTTAACAGAACAACAGTTGATGATGTCGTCATCCCTTCGTGCTTCAGCATGCATGTCTGAGAAGCAAGCACTGAGTTCACACACAGCAAATCAACTCCCCATGACAGCGTAACAGGACCAATTTGCAAAATTGAAAAATTGCAACTTTTGGACATTTTTGGGAAAGTTTTTGACTTTTGACACTGAGATTTCCAAGTTTTTTTCTAGAATATTTATGAGATTAATCTCAAAATTTGTGAATTTCTTCTAGCAATTTTTGACATTTCAGACTCGGAAATTTAAACAAAAATTCTAGAAGATTTCTGACATTTGAAAATTTTATATTTTTTTTCTAGAAAACTTTTCAAACTCTGAAATTCCCAATATGTTTCTAAAAAATTCTGACATTAATTGAAATTTTCTGAATTTTTACCAGCAGATTTTTGACTTTCCAAACTCCTTATGTTCTGAGTTTGTAACTTAAAAAATATTAAACTGAGATTTTTCTGATATTTTTTCCCCTGGAAATTTTTTATTTTTTTTTTTTAAATTTTTTGACTTTTCAAACTAAAGAATGTCCAAGTTTTTGTTGCAAATTTCTCAAAATTTCTCCGTTTTTTTCGGCAGAAATGAACTCTTCCCTTTTTTCTCTATCTGCAGTATCTGCTACGCTGTCGTAGCGCCCGCTCCCCGTCCCTCCCAAACTCACTATTTACTCTCCAAACAGAAGCATAAAAGGACATTTCCATATCTTCTTCTTCCACAAACATTTACCTGGCTGTAAAGATTCCCGTTTCATACCTGAGGAACGCTCTTGTTTGAAAGGAGAAACCCAACAAATTAACTCCTGCAGTTGTTGCTGACCAAATGTATCATTGTTGCTGGGAATAAAACCTAAAAACATTTTATGGACCTACAAAATACAAAATATTTGATAAATAAATGATTTGTATTTGTGTTTAGTTACCACAGTAGTAACTAGAGTCCACCTATCAGACCGAAGACCGGCAGATATTTTCTACTAGAAAAGGGAAAATCAGTTCTGGAGTCAAATCTGATCGCAGAACAGATAATAGACAAAGAATATAACTTCTGGTTTGAGGAAACCATTTGAAAGGTAAGTGCATTCAGACATTATTACATAATCAGAAAGGTTTCTTCATATCTTATCTTGTACTTTGCCGGTAGTCGGCGTAATGATAAGATAAAACAATAATTAGGTGCTTTGGCCATATTTGCTGCCAGTCCAGCTAAATAAGATTTGTTTATAACCACAAATGTTGCATGAACTTAAAAAAAAGAGAACTTAATATTTTTGATATTTACTTAAGGAAACGTGTTGTAATTTTTAAAGAATCACATTTTATTTATTTTATTTATTATTATTATTATTATTATTATTATTATTATTATTATTATTTTAGGTTTTAAAATAAGGAAAAACATAAAACTTTGCAGAAAAGACAATAGATATATTTCCTTCTGTGGGATGTTAAAACTTATGGGAAATGAAAATGAAGAAAAGAACATAATTTACAACATAATGACAAAAAATTGATTTAAAACAGTTTTACTGCTATTTTTAGTGTCATCCTGAAATTGGAAATCAGTTTATCAAATGAGAAAAATACTGCTTACCCCAGTTGTTATTAAATGCATATTTAAAACATCTTAAAAAGGCATATTAGAGTCATTGTAGATTTAAAAAAAAAAGTAGTAGTAAATCTCCACCAAAAGAAATCTCTTTTTCTAGGAAATAACTTGAAAATTTCTGATCCCCCATCCCAAAAAAAGTCCAAAATTTTCAACTTTTCAATTTTCTGACTTCCAAAAGTCAAAAGCTGACATCTTTTCAAACTCTCTTTTTTTCTTGTTTTTTGTTTTATTTATTTATTTTTTATTGAAAATTTGATATTAATCTAAAACTTTCTGAGTTTGAAGGCAGAAGTTGATATCCTAAAACACCATAGTTTCTTTGTCGCTAGTCCCATTTATCATGAGCCACAGGTTGAAGACGGATGTGAAACAAAATGGCTGACAATGAAACGAATCGTCAGAAACAAATATTTGCCAACCTGAATGAACTGAAGCAAAGTCATAAAGAAGAAATTTACTGTACAACAACAATATGAAACTAATTAAGCCATAAAGAGAACAACTTTCATTGGACTATTGGATTATGGGACTCCATTTTTTATGACTTCTGATTTATATCTGTGGGCAAGTCAGCATTTTAGAATAACAGCCAATAAATCATGTCTGTTGGGAACCTAAACAGTTCAGGCGACTAATTTCACAGTTAACTGGTTCAAATAGTTCAATTGTTCAGTGGCTTTAAAATCGCTTTAATGATAGTTTCCATTAACTGTGAAGACATCAAATGTTGTTTGATTAATGGATTTTATTGATTAATCAAATTTTTGTTTCTTGAAAATTTAATTTTTGGAAAATCTGGATTTTTTTCCCCCCATCCGCTCCAGTCCAGAGGGACATCAGGACGCCCAAGGCCGCCATCTTGTTTTTACAGCTTTTATCCATTTGGACTTTGGACTCAACTCTACAAAGATATTTGGAGTAAGTTAAGATTTTTTGTTTCGTTTTGTCTTGTTTTGTTTTAAACGACACTTGTAAACAATATTCAAAATAATACAAGAACAAAGTGATAATGTTAGGAGAATACAGTACTGATTTTATGAGAACTCATGTTAAGTTTTACTTCGGAAATATTTAATCCTTTAATGTATATGCATCAAATTATCAATATCAGTAGTTTGATGTAATGTGGGTTAAAGGTAACTGGTTGATCAACCTTTGAGACTTTTAATTTATCGCTGACAGCTGTTCAGGTTCAACATTATCACTTCTATTCACTGATAACAGGAATCCTGCAAAAGGTGCAGAGATAAATCGCTGCATATTTTAAAGAGTTAAAGATCTTAAAGAGTTTGAACGTAAAACTTTATTCAGACACGATTAGTTTATGTTTTAGTTTTCAGTGCAGAACTTTAGTTTTTATCTCTAAGAGCGTAAAGAGAATGTGTGTCTGAATGGTATGGACACGGAGTCCCTGACAGGAACATTTTTTTTTTCTGCTGCTGGTTCAGCTCACCTCATTAATGACGTCACGTTGGGGGTGGAGCTTATGGTGCGTTTAAGGGAGCCGTCCTTAGTCATTCACACACACAGCAGGAAAAGGACTCAGGACAACATCAGGTAAGACTTTTTTTTACTTTTAAATTAATTCAGTTCAGCTGTTATTAGTTAATAATTTTATATACAGAATGATTTCTTTCTGCTACCAGCAGTCATACTTATCATGAAAACCAATCTTAAAAAGATAAGAAGAATTTTTAAAAAGATATAAATTACCAACTTTACTCATAAAGTTTAGGATTTTTTTCTCCTTTAAGTTATAGAAAATTTAAAAACTCAAATGGTGACTAAAATAAAAGAACTAAGCTCCATTTCAATGTTCATTTTACAACTACCCAGTAAAAAAAATGCTGACTAATCTAAACCAGGAAATAATAATAATAAAGTCAAATTAGGTTAAAAAAAACCCTTACATTTAGATGCTTTGTTTAGTTTCAAAATGGGCGTCTTCTGAAGGAGGATAATGTACTATCTAAGTAATATCTATTTAAACACATTTTATGCTTTAAATGTGTTCTTTACAAATACCAACTTTTCCATTACTTGGTTTGTGTCGGGCAGAAGAACATCGGTGATGCTAGGTGTCGTTGCATGCAAAGTGGCTCTGCCTCTGATCCACTGTGGTTGACGGTTCATCCGGTTTAATCCCAAAATATGAGCACAGAAGAAAACAAAACACATGGGGAAACATGTCTGGCATTAACTCCAACTGCTAATACCTTTAAGAAATTAAAGTTCTTCCAACTGAAAGAACATTTCCCCTTTTATTGACTTCAGTCAGTGACGCTGCTAACAACTCTTAGCAACATTAGCACATCTCTGTTTTATGTATTCAAACGTTAAAAGGTGACAAATATAGGACTATACATGTGTACCACTTGTGAAACGTGATAGGAACCATCACAAAGTAAGCTAACATTTGGTAAGTTTCTCTTCCAATGAGAAATTCAAAGGTCTCTCACTGACGTTGACCTCAAAATCCAATATGGCCGCCTTGCTTAAAACGTGACATTTGCGCTAAAACATTTTTCTGCACTTCTGACAATCGTTAACTCTTTCACACATACTGTACAACCTGTTTTAGTGAACATGTAGTTACAAAATGCAGATTGTAGTTAGCTTGTAAGGCTAATAGTAGTTAGCATGTTCACAGATTAGTTCAGTTAGCTAATTCCACTGGATTTTAAGCTTGAAAACACAGTAAAACTGGGTTTATTTTACTATTCCTGGATTTAAGATCATAGATGTATTAGCACCATATATTTAGTAGCTTCACAAACTTTATCGATATATTTAGCTAGTACTGAAACCGACTCTTTTACAAAAGAGAACGAAAAGAACATAATCAAAATCTAGTGACAGTGTAATCTGAAACACTGTTTCCAGTGTTTGAGACTTTTGGTCGTTTTTACTTTTCTCAACAGTGGATTTCACCTGTGGGGCCGTCTCTTTTCTGAAGCACTCACAGACAGCCAGGTCATCTCATTGCAGTCCCTCCCAGCTGCATTCAAAGCATGAGACTGATTCACACTTTGATGAATCAAATGCTGCATGAGTTGCTCCTGTTTGAGGCTTCTATATGGACCATGATGCTAACACCTGAACCACACCCTAAAAATTAAAGTAACTTTGTCAGACAGACTGTTAACTTTAGTTTATTTTTACCCAATTAAAATACAGACCAAACCTGCTAAGACTTCATGGTATTTTGCTTTAGATAATATCATATCCTGACTATTAGTAACTAGTGAGTCATACTAAAAGTGTCCTGGCTTCAACTTTGTCTTTCAGTTTGAAGTTAGTGAGTTTGGTTGCTAGTTTGCTTATGGCAGGAGAGCTGGATAACAAAGTCGAACTGTCAGTGTTTGTATTTATCTGTAGAACAATGTGCCTTTGGTTTTGACATCTGGCTTACTGACAACCTTGATAACACTGGCATTGACCTTCTACAGTACATACAAGCCACAGCAGCTGATTTACACTGATAAACCTGCAGAGTTTTGCACAATCTGTACCAACAAAGCTGGAATTTGTACCAGAATTATCCATTAATAATCTTTCACAGTACTATCTTTTCAGTTTTACTTCTTTTTAGCGTCAGAACCTTTGAGAGTGACCTGAGCTGATTGAAGGTCAAGAAAATTTAAATTTAAAGGGGACCTAAAAACACTAAAAGTCCTTTAAAAAGCACTCACCTGTTTTTTGGTGTCTGGAAAATGAGTTTATACAAAAACTTCCGAATATATTGTCACAAATCAGCAGGCACTATGCCGCTACCTAGCAACCGTAGTGTTGCCCGAGCTGGCAACCCAACCTGAGCTACAAAATGTTTGGTCATCTGGTTTTCTGTTGTATGCTCTGTACAATGGCTGGAAGAGACAAGTGTTTTTGTTTTTGACTTACCATCCTGAAACCACTTGCTGCATTCTTGTTTGTTGTGCAGGAGGCTCCACTTGTTCTTTTCAAAGATGTACAGTTGTATAATTGCGCCTAAATTTGCAGCCATTTTCACATTTTAGTGTAAATGTTGAGTTGGGGGGGAAATGGTTTTAGGGCCTCTGTGACAGCTCTTTCTGAAAGGAGCTCAAAATAGGCAGAAGTGACCAGATTAAAATCTCATTATCTAAGAATGATTTTGTGCAAAAAATGCAATGAGCATGTTCTATATATATCCTACTCTATTCAAGGAAGCATAATAGGTCACCTGTAAAGAATGCTGATGGATTATGTAACAGTGTTAATCTCTTAATCTGTCATGTCTTTTCTGTTTTAGGATAAGCAAAGAATTGTTTAAGAAGAAAGCAAAGACAAGATGACGATCGGCAGAAACTCGAGGAAAACCTCAACCCGAAGCTCCATCCGGGCCCCCAAATTCCTTGACAAATCCAGCGGCTTCTACGGCCGCCTTGATGAACCCGAGCCCGCCACAGACGACGGGTGTGAAATAAGCGGTGGTAACGTTGAGGCTGAGGTCAAAGACGGCAGTTCCTCCCCAACAATGGTACCCAACACATTGGCAGACGAAGACGTGGAGGTGTTTGGGGTAATTGAGGACGATGGAGAGACTCTCCTGCAAAGAAAGCCAAGCCGCCTCAGCAGCAGGTGGAGAAGAAGCACCAGGAGGAAGCAGAAGGACGAGAAGGCTGAAGAGGACCCAACCCAAAACGAGAAGTCCAGCCCAGAAGTTCAGGAAGACATGATGAAGGTAAAGACGGAGGAAGAAACGGTGAAGGAGCCTGGCCTTGTTCACTTCCAAGTCCGGGAGTTCGCGGATGACCGGGTTCTGATCCGAGACAACAAGAGAGTGAGAGAAGAAGAGGAGGAAGAGTCAGAGGAAGAGAGGAAGATGAAGAAGGAGCAAGAGGAAGGGATGAAAATGGTGAAGAGGAAGAATTATCGCAAGGTGAGACTTTGTTTCTGCCGGTTTAAGATGTCAGACAAATTCCACATTTATGCCGCTTGGTTAAACTTTAATCCTCTTAAAGGTTACATAACCGAGCATGTGGAACAAGAGGGCAAAGTTCTGGCTCATCGTTGGTTATTAATCACCAAGGAAACCCTTCATATCACCTTAATAATACATCCTCACCTGGGACAAAGTACAGCAGCCACTGGTGCATATCACCAACACAGTAATTGCAGTTTTTCCTTTACCTCACCCTTAACGGGTCATAAAAATGAAACCAGAGGACAGAGGTCAGCAGGCGGCACAAAACGTGTATTTTCACCATCCTCGCATGTCGTAGAGATTTTCTGCTCCGACTGAGACGCGCTCACTCCGAGGTGGCATTCCTGAGTCTCCTGTGTCTCGTTCTTTGATCAGTGGACTGAAACGAGAGCCTTCCTATCAAACCAACAGAGTGAAAACATTCCTCTGAAGTTAATCTGCCACCATAATTCTCACAGTCAGACCCCCTGTATCACCAGATTAGGACTTTTTCAGCTTGAAAATGGCCAAATGTTTTTCCACTGACCTAAGCCCCAAGAATCACATCTGACTCTCTCTGGAAATCTTACAGACTAGATTTTGAAAGTACAAAACACAGTTTTTTCTAACAGTGGTTAGCTGCTCTCTGAGCATATCAATTAGCAAATCCAAGCGTTTTTCAAACTTGAAACTTTAGTCCGCTTTAATTGAACTCTTGTTGTTTGTCTAGAAAGTTTGTTTTGTTTGTGGAGATCTGAATGCGCAATCGAACACTGATGCAGACCAAAAAATCAAACTCTAGTCCTTTTAAAAACCTATTTTAGTTAGGTTGAAGTGAACTAGCGTGGTTCGAATGTGTATGTGAACGCCAAGCGGACCATAGACCGCTCCAAAATCACAAAGTGGACTGCAGAGCAGGGCATTCTGGGCAAATACAACCAAAACAACCATGCTAGTTTAGCACTAGCAGGAGACAAAAGAGAATGCCTACAACCACAAAAATCTGATGTCACTCCATTTTTGTATACATTTTGTGAAGATTAAGTTGTGTTTAGTGACTTATTCAGAGTTTTTTGTGATGTTTCCTTCTTTGTTTGTTGGTCTTCAAATGGTTTGTTTTGTTTGACATGGTGCTGTGTGAAAAGCAAACCGCACCAACTGAAAAGAAATAAATGTTGCAAGAGGGTGTAAAAATATCTACAAGCCCCTAAACTTTGTTCACTGTTGCCTACTTACTTCTGCATTAAATGATTTAATAAACATTGTTGTATCTGGAGAAAACCTCTTTTTGGACAAATATCTTCTGAAGACCATTAGCTGCCACTTCTCCACTGGTTGAGAACTTTATACTTAAGCTTTAATGGTTTTTAATATTATTACTGGTTGTATCTCAGGCACAGACTCCTATTTTTTAAAATTATTCATTGGAACCCCCCCAAGCAGATCTTCTTCCGTTTTATTTAAGGTATCAAAGCCACATTTGATCTCCAGTGTCTAAATTATTTGGGTGCGAACTGGGTTATTCTACTCTGAACAAAGATTTTTTGAAACATTGTTTTAGCTTTTCCAGACCTTGGTAATAAATGGGAAGATCCATATTATTTGCTGTTGAACGTCCCAATTGGTGTCTTCTAGATAACTTGTTTCTTTCAAACCTTATAATACTTCTGATGATCCTTTTCACCATTAATGGTTCTATTGAAGCTCCTGCTGGTAAAAGTCCCTGAAATGTAAATATTCCCACTAGTATCAGACTTTATTTCCTAGTTATTTTCATTTCCCAGAATAGAGTAACAAAGCCGCCCCACATTTAGAAACAATAGGCAGCTTGTGCTCCTAACAGGGAAATTTCAGTTTCCAGCGAACTCTACAGGTGACCAGAACAAAATGGATTGAGAGGCATGAACAATCTCGCAGTAAAAAGCATAAAAGAAAACGTTAAAATGTAATCCAAAGTAACTAAAACATGACTAATCTGCATAATCTCCATGTTTTATTCAAGCATAATTATCTTCTTTTCCTTCAGGCGTTTGACCGGGCGCTTCGTCGCGGCTGGGAGGCCTTCATCACCAACCTCTACAGCGTCACGCTCACTCCTGTGACGGCCTCCTCGCCAACATCAACCTCGCCTTCGCTGAAGAAGAAGAACCTGCACTCCTCTGTGCTGGCTGAGTTTCAGTAGAGCTGCAGCAAAAAAACATGGACTTTCTAAAATCCAACATGATGAGATCAGGGCTGCAGCTCCAATCCTGACATTTACAGGACCTTAGATTAGGTTACATAAGCAATAATTATTGATGTTTGTTACTGAGTCTAAATTGCTCAGTGCAGCCTTATCGCTTTGTTTCAGTTTGCAGACTGAAGGTATGTATTTTACCACCTGTGGACTTTGCATTGAAGTCTAACATTTGTGACTGAGCTGCTCCTTTTATTTTCTACTTTATTCTGAAGAGTGAAAAAATATATATTTTTTGTTATACATTTAACTCGCCGTCTGGAGCATGAAGTGATGATATTTTGCTTCCTTTGGGTTGGCATGATGAAACCGCTCACGTGTTGATGTGTAACTGCTAAAGGAACTGAAGATTTCATCAGCAGCGATGACTGATCGGTGGAGTTTTTGTTTTGGAAATATCCACATTTTCATTTATGACCAATCAGGGATCAGCTGACATTAAGGAGTATGAATACACACCCAAACCCACACATCCACTTTGCACATGTTTCTGACTCACATCCACACGCAACGCATCTGATTAACAGTATTTATAGAAAACCATTTAAACACCTACGTGCCAGCACAGAAAAACGTCAACTACAACTTTTTATCCTTATTTTGTTCTGATGAAGGTTGTAGAAACCTGAAGGGACAAACTACATCTTAGTGTAAAAGACAACAATTTGATCGACTGTGTATTTCTTGGTGAGTTTTTTTGCACAGGAAAACGGCAATGTTTATTTTATGTATTTATTTCCATATGAAATTAATTAAAACATTATTACACAACACATTTATATCTACAGCAGTTGTGTGTAAATTATACAAAATGCTTTGTAAATAATTATTTTAAATATATTTTAATATTTAAGTTTTTTTCTGTTTTTGGGACTAACACAACCTTCAGTGTGTGTTAAAGAGTTGTTGATGATTAATTTTTGTATAAACTGTATTTGCAATAAATTTTAAGAACTTTTCAAGTTTTTGTCTTAATTATTAACATTAAATGCATTTTTTAAATATATTTAGTTAAAGGATCTAGTTTAAGGTTCTAAAATGTCATAAAAGACACTTCTAATGACTAAGTTTACTTAAAAGCATGTTCTGTATGTCCTAGTTAGAGCTTTAAATATTAGAGCACCCTATTGAAACATTTCAGTGACATTTATTTTATAATGATTATTAAAATTACTCAATAACTGTAGCAGTGTTTTTTGATAATCAGTAAGTTGAATTAAAGTTTGATTTCCCTCAAATTTTAAGATAAAATTTCATTAAAAAAAAGAAGAAAGCAAACAAACCAAAAACTATCTTAAGGGTTTTGATACATCTTCAACAGGGTGCTGATTACTGTGCAGGACACTGCATGAACATTGTGAAAGAATTGAATATTTAAAACCAAAGACTAGTTGTTTTCCCCACATGAATCAGATTTAGACCAAAACAATCCTGCTGTTGTTGTAGTTCTACATGGAGCATGAGTGATACAGATTCTCAAATAAAGATGACTTATCTTATGCAAACATAAATCCAGCCACAGATTTTGTGCAAGTATAATTTAATCTCTGAAAAGACAGAAGGAAATCCAGGATCTACAACCAAAGTCTGCTGATCCTGTTTTGAAATGTAAGCAACAGTGCGTTAATTTGGTACAAACATAAAAATACTGCGCATACTACATCACAACAGCTTAATGCTAAGTTTGTCAGTGTTCAACAATCAATGGCTGAAAGGTGGCAACATTTAGAGAAACCAACTAATGTTTTTGGATGGTGGAAGGAAACTGGAATGCCCAGAAAGAAACTAGATAGGGACAACATGCAAAATCCATGCAAAGAAGCGCCAAAACCTTTACACTGGAGCAACAGTACTAACAATGCTCCACTCGGATAAGGACTTTGTACAGCGGGGTGCCTGTTTGTGCTTATTAGACATGCAAAAAACGCAATGAAAAAAAATATATTTTCATGATTTAGGGCACAATTTTTTGTGGCGCCCCCTAGGCCACGCAGACCTGGGTGGAGCGTCAACAGTTGGTTGGTTGTGTCGGTTTGTCGGTGCGAGTGTTGAGTTATTCCAGTTGCATCTGTAAATCTTGCAAAAATATACGCAGATTGCAGAATACATACATTTCTGCTGAAAACACTCTTTTTTTCTGAAGAACTGAAAAAACGAGTGATTTTTTTTATCTATTCGTTTTTTACGTGCTTAATAATTTATTTAATCATTACTGTGGAATCAAGACAATTATTCGTGTCAAATAAAAAGTTTAAGAGCATATGTATAACGTGTGGTTGCTTTGAATGCATCTGCTGCCATCTTGTGGTCAAAATCCGTGAAACGGAAGTGACATCAGCAATATCATTTCGCCCACTTTTTTGAAAAAAGCGGGCGCTTTAACACATATTTACAAGTTGATATGTTTCTTAAAATAAATACAGTACTTTTGCTATAATACGCTTTCTTTAACGTGCTCTAATCTTAATATATCAAAAATAAAGCTCATAAAGTCGTTTTCCCGCTGAATTTTCTGGGGAGGGAGGAGCCAAAGTAGCGGGACATAAAAAGCAGACGCACCGGATTCTTCTTCCACTTCCTCCTGACCTTTGCTGCTGGTAAGATGGATCTCCTTCTTCATTACAGTTCTCCTAAATTTTATTTTACATGATAGTGTTTTTATACGCAAATAATCTAAAATAACATTGGAACTGCAGCTGACCGATGCCTGCGGCCCACAGTTAGCTTAAAGGTGTAATTAATCCAGAAACTTCGCTGCTTTCAACGGTGCAGCACGAAGGAACTGAGAACAATCCTGCACCATCCGCCTTTAAATCATCCTAATCTTGCTCTCTGAATGCCCCAAACATAATTCAAAACGTCTTTTTGAACTTTTTGCTTAATTATTATCGCCAAACTTCGGCTAGAAATGTTATATTTTCCAGCTAAAATAAAGCGATGGCCGTTGCTCGCTTGGCGGGGCTGCTAGTTGTTGCATCGTCTCTCAATGATGATAATTTTCACAGACCTGTCCTGAATGACTGTGATTGCACTTTTATTATTCTGATGTGAGACGTTGCATTTTCACCTTTTTAGTCGTATACTTCAAAAACTTCATCCATGCTCTCCTGGGTGGGTCGCATGGACCAGTCACGTGTTGGCTGCTTGGGAAAAATGCTAACTTAGCATGCTAACGTTTATGGTCTTTTCGTTTAGCAAAGAAGAGATGGCGCACGGTTTGCTGCTAAAGGTGAGGTCTGCATCTTACATGGCACGAGTTTATGCTCGTAATGGAGTATTTTATTACATCTGAAGTGTTTTGCAGCCTCATGCTACAGTGATGTTCTAATTGAACTCTCTCACTGAAAAGTCCGTTGAAGACAATTAATTCAATTATTCTGAGTGGCATGAGGCCACCAGAAACAAGCTTTTTATTGTCTGTCTTATTACTGTAATCCAATTTTTATTTATTTATACTTTTCAGGTTTGGATTTTGAGGCTTCTTGCAAAAGAAGGTAACTATTAATTTAACATTTAACTAGGAAGCATTATGGGCTGAATCCCATTTCTAATATTTATGCTATTACCACTCCCCCATTTCTAACCATACAATAGACACATTGCGGTACCAAAATGCACCATTTATGATTAAATGTCATATATTATCCCTGATTCAGTCTTTCTGCCTGTTTCTAACCATACAGCCAGGTAGAAATTTAAGGATGAGTCTGAAAAGCAAATGGAATCGATTAGCAGCGCTTGGTGTCATCCAGGTCATGTTACTGTTCAGTTTTTGTCTCTGCTGCCCAGAAGCTGAGTGGTTAGCTTGTCTTAAGACTGTCATACAGACTTCAGATTTAATGCAAGATACTAGGAAAATATGAGTTACCACATTTAATTTGTTGTTGAGTTAAAATATTTTAATTAAAGTAGATTTTGACTTCAAGCATTACAAAATATTTTAAACATTTAAACACACAAGTCATGGTAGTTAATGTACTATAATACCTGTTATATTTAAATCTAGATGTCCTATTCCTATCTCTTCACTGAGTTTCTGAATGCCTGCAGAGCCGTATTGTCTGACCCTCCCCCTACAATATTGAGTGGGAAACACCGAGATGAAATGGGATTCAGCCTTGAAGTTGCTTCCTGTGTGGTTCTGGGTTAGTTCACCTCTTCAACAAATGTTTATTACAATTTAATCTCTTCTTACTTTATCTGGTACTTAAAGACTTCCAGTCAATTTCCTCCGCTAAAGAGTATTTATTTTGTTTGTGGTTCAGTCCTTTACTAAGGATCAGTTGCACCCGATTTCCAGTCCAAATGTACCAGTTTGGACCAGTTGATTCCTAAGAAATGGATTTTATCAATAAAAATCCTCCTCAATGGGAGCCATCCATTCTGATGAGTGGAAAACTACTTAATTGCTTTCCATAGGAAAGGCAAAACAAGTCATGTGTTAAATAAAATGAAGGGGTGAAATAACCAGTAACACACACACACACAGCCTTCAGTCTCTTTCTGGCGGAGCTTGTTTGCTGCAGTGATGAATCTTCTGAACTCTCTCTTACCGAATCAACCTTTGAAGAAACCCCTTTACCAGATTCTGAGTAGCATGATGGCTCCAGCTAATATCGACTCATCCTGACTTATTTTGGTTTAAGGTTGATTCTAACTATTCAGTTTTCTCCCACAGATGTGATCAGCACCTCCCATGAGGATGAACGCCTCAAGCCCAGCAGGTAATCTGCTTTTTTAGCTGAAATTCCTGCTAATCTAAAGGCTTAAACTGATGATTTTACAACTGACAAGCATATGCCTGACTCTTCTGATGACTGCTTATTTATCTGAACCAGCCCTAAAACAGAACAATGTCTGTTTTATTTTAAGAAATTACGTAATAAGATGCTTTGTCTTGTAGGATTTGTTCCCCAATAACATCATAAATGCTGGAGAGATGTTGGAAACTTGCTGGAGGTGAGTAAAGAAAAGAGGTTTAAGGTTTAATAAAAGCTGTGGGTGTAAATCTGATGATTACCATTAAATGACAAGCATATGCCTGAACATAATGATGTCAAACTTTAATCTGATTGCCCTGAGATTAACATTTAGGACAGCAGGAGAAGTTTGTGCAAGTTAATAACCTGCATATTTTTGTTGCAGATGAAAACCTGATGTGAAATATCAGCTGTGAGAAACGCTTCACTAATGGGTAAGTTTATTTTGCGTCCTAC